TGTTATCTACAAGAAAATTAATAAACATACAGAATAAACTAGAAGAAAACAGAAAATATCAGTAACCTTGCTGGAAACGTCAATGACTTAGATAATGGTCTTTTACACCTTTTTCTACACCAGCTTCCAACATACATATTCACAAAACTGTATGATATCATGAAGAGGCTATGAATCTTGTTTCTTTTACTTAAACTATATTATGAACATGGTTTGATATATTTCTACATTATATTTTAATGGCTATACAGTTTTCCTTAATGCAGATATGCCATAATTTAATTACTTTTTGATGGACATTTAGTGTGTTTTCAACATTTTTATATTCCACACAGTACATTTTGTACTAAATATTTGTACATGTAAATAATCTTTATTTTTTAATAAAATTAATTCTATTTATTTCACATGTTTTGTTTATGTTTTCAGATTATCTGAAGAGGAATTTCTGGATCAAAGAGATCTGGAATTTTAATTAAATTTCTGATAATTGCCAAACTGCCCTTCATAAAGTTTATTCTGATTTATGATCCTAGCATCAGTGAATTAATGAAGTAGTTTCTTAATCTTTGTGAACTTGAATATCTTAACCTTTACGTATTGTTAATTAAGCAATTAAAATTACTTTAATTGGATTTATTTGGGTATTAAACAGTTGACATTTTTCAATTTTCTAATGGCCATAGGTGGTTTTTCAATGAACTGATTGTTCATAGTTTAGCAATTTTTCCATACCCATAAGAGCTTTATCTATATAAATTACATTATCAATTTGACAGGCATGTATATTGCAGCTATTTTTTGTTTTCCTCTTCCTTTTATTTATAGTGTTTTTAATATACATAAATTTAAGTTTTAAGTCAGCTCTTTCAGCATCTCCTTTGTGGTTTCTCTCCTTCAAGTCATTCTTAGTTTGCTGTTCACAGTCACATTCAGATATATCTTCACCTGTAGTTTTTCTATTGCTCTCATATTTTCATAAATGATTTTGATGTTAAGCTTTTGATGATGTGATTGATATTGCATTGAATGGAAGTACAGTCATCTCTGAGGATAGAGACTGGACCGAAATTGTAAAGGAAAAGCTAGTAATGGAACAATCCCATAGGGAACAATAAGGTTTAAGGAAACCTATTATTTTCTGTCTGGAGCAATTGCCTCATGACATTTAGGCTTGGTGCCCACAGCCTAAAGCAAATACTGAGTGAAGATCATTTATTGTCATCAGGGCAAGAAGAGAGAGCTTTGTGCATCTTACTTGTCCTGTGGAACTGAAAATACTCTCACTACGAATGGGAAAGATGGTGCGATAAGGAGCAGCATTTCCCATCTGTGAATTATTCCAGATGTTATGAACTTCTTAACCTCCCCACTGCTGGTCTTCCCTGCCCTTATCCTACTTCAGCCAGTCTGGTCTCATTACTCCTCCCCAAGTAAGCCAGGTGTGCTCTCACCTCAAGGTAGTTCCCCGTGCCTGGAATGCCCTTCCCGCAAAAATTGACTTGGTTCAGGGGCTTCCCTGGTGGCGCGGTGGTTGAGAGTCCGCCTGCCGATGCAGGGGACACGGGTTCGTGCCCCGGTCCGCGAAGATCCCACATGCCACGGAGCAGCTGGGCCCGTGAGCCATGGCCGCTGAGCCTGCGCATCTGGAGCCTGTGCTCCGAAACGGGAGAGGCCACAACAGTGAGAAGAAATGACTTGGTTCACTCCTTAGCCTTCTGCAAGTCTGTTCAAAGATTACTTATTTAAGCCTGTCCCAACCACCTTACCTAGAAGCACAGTCCCCCTTCCCCCACGCCTCCACTATTAATTTTCCTATCACACTTATTATATGTAGTTTAAAGATGGCCCCAAATTATAAGATCCATATATTTATTACATTTATTGTTGATTGTGTGTGTGTCTCCCAGTTAGAAGGTAATCTCCATGAGGGCAGGGATCTTTGTTTTATTCACCGACAAATATCAAGTGGTAAGTGTCCCACAAATATTACACAGTTAATACATTTTCTATTTGAAGATTTTATTTTATAGGAAGGAAATCAGGATGAACCTAAGTGGTTGTTGCCTTAAACAATATTTTTAATGTTTCAAATTAAGTGGTTTTAATTTATGATATGTTGAAGATAATACAAAATATATAAATTCATTTGACAGCAATAAAGTGTATCCTTTATCATGTATATGTGTGAAGAGCTTTAAGAATGATAAATGGTAAATATAAAATACCGCTTTTGATGCCTGTCATAATTTTTTTTGTAAAAATATATCACTTTCATACTTGTGAGATGAGTAAAGAATTGAAAAGACCCTTTGTTTTACAGAGCCGTGTACAGTTAACATGGATGACATGAGCAGAAATAACCTAGGGATGAAGTGGAATTATGAAGGGAAGATCTTACATGGAGATTTAATAGATTTTGTATGTAAACAGGGGTATGACTTGTCTCCATCAACTGCACCCTCTGAATTATCGGTGCAGTGCAACAGAGGTGAAGTGAAATATCCTTCATGTATTAAAAAAGGTAAAACAATGGTGCTTCCTGACAATTTCTTGGGTGACCAATATCACAGGTGATCAGTATGAGTTCAAAGGATAAGACCCTAAGCAATCCACCACCCTCATCATCTAATCTATAAAATTGGGAATGACCTGATCAATTTCCAATCAGCACATACCCTTAAATAGGATCTATGCTGACATCTTTTAATTCTGTAAGTCAGTTTTATAAAGAGAGAAATCATGAGATTTTGTACATATCACCAGACTTTCAGAGGATGGATCACCCTCTTGTGAGCAATCAACAACCCTGTAAAGCATTGCTCTCCTTAGGGTTTGCAGGGGAGCATTGTCTCAGAAGAGGGCTTAAGGTAGAGTGAGAGACTTTGTGTACTCCTTGGGCATGGGACTGTCACTTTTAATAAGGAAACAGGAAGAGAATGCATACAGAAAGCATGGCCTCAAGACGGATCTTATATTCTTTCACTTTTGGCAAACAGAAAGAGGAAAAGTAAAATCACAATAATTAATACTTTGCTAGTTTTAAACGTGTATTTAATATTATGATATACTAATTGCAATCATAAATTTTATGTATGAAGTTATTGCAGAAATGCTTTTGATATTTAAAAATTACTTGAGAGATGTCTTAAAAATGCTTTTACATGAAATGTATTGTTTTGTTTCTGTAGAGATTATAAAAACACTGGCTGCCTATTGTAGCAATTCATTGCAGACTTTATTATTTTTGCAGAATCTAAAAGAACATGTGCATCTCCCCCATTTATTAAAAATGGAGTTATTAAGAGTTCAACAGTCAGGACCTATGAAAATGGTTCCTCAGTGGAATACAGATGTTTCGAGCACCATTTCCTACAAGGGTCTAAGGAGTCCTATTGTTTAGAGGGAGTGTGGACTACACCACCATTGTGTTTGGGTAAGTACTGCCACATATGTCTCTATTTATTAAAATAAAACCATATTTTTCACTTCCTCTTCTCTTCGAGTTGATATAGCACTAATATAAAATTTAAATTTTGCATTTTTGTTATTTTATTAGTGTGCTTGTTGAATTACTGGTTTCTACTCTTTCCTCTAGATCATAAATAACTAGAATTCAGCTCATTCTAACAAGTACTTTTTAAGTACAAACCATACATGAGGTACTGGGTTGGTAGGACCTATAGGATGGTTAAGCTGTGTGCTGTGGGTAACCAGTCTAACAGTGGTCATTCAGTGTTATTGGTGCTGTGCTAGAAAACACGAGGACAGCGGGAACAGATATAGGAATGGTCCCCTCAATCTGAAAGATGATAATGCCTTGTTGATGAGGCATCCTAATAAAAGTAACACTATCTCCCAAAATTCTCAGGAGTCATAAAATAGCATATTTTTAAATGAAAAGAAAATATTTCTTTGTGTTTATATCTGACTTTCATTTATTTTCTTATCTTATTTCACTGTCTTGGACTTCAGTATAATGCTGAGTATAAGTGGTGGGTATCTGTGTTCTGATCTCATAACTAAATCTTTCAGTAGTTCATCTTTAAATATGGTGTTACAAATACGTAAAAAAAATCAAAATAAAGATATAGAAACCACCTATTTCTATTTTGCTAAGAGTTTAAAAAAACCTTCAGTGAGTTTAATTTTAGCAATACCTGTTAAAACAATCATATGATTATTACATTTATTTTTTTTTCCCTGGAATTACATTGCTTCTTTTTTGAATGTTAAAGCAGGATTGTATTTCTGTAATAAATCCCACACGGTTGTGATGAATTATGCTTTTTATATATTGTTGAATTTTATTTGCTAATACTCTACGTAGGATTTTTGCAACTATTTTCATGAGGGAGATTGGTTTGTTATTTTCCTTTTGGGTTTTGTATCAAGTTTCTGCTAACTTCATACAATGGGTTGGGAAGTATTCCCTCTTTATCAATTCTCTAGATTTTGTCTAAGACTGGTACTATTTCTTCTTTAATAATTGTAAGAAATCATCAGAGATGCCACCTGGGCCTTGAGGTTTTTTTTGAGGAAAGATTTTAATGACAACTTCAATTTGTTTAATAGATATTAGGTTATTATTCTCTTCTCTCAGTTTCAGTAGGAAGTGGTTTGTAAGAATGTGTCCATTATATCTAAATTGTCAAGTTTGTTGATATAACGTTCATGACATCCTTTTATGGTTTTTTTAATGCCTTTAGTGATGTGTCTTTTGTTATACTACTGTGAAGAAGTATGTCTTTCTGATATATCTTGCTGAGGGTCTGTAAATTTTATTGGTCCTTATAAGCAATCAGTATCTGCATTTTTTGATACTTTCATCAAATGTTGCTATTTCATTAATTTATATTCTTGTCTTTATTATTTCCTCTCTTCTACTTTCTTGGATTTATTTTATTATTCTTTTTCTAGATTGTTTAGATGTATACTTAGAGTACTAATTTTCATCCTTTATGTTTTTCCCTAAAAATGAATTTAAGGATATAAATTTCCCACTGAGCATAACTTCAGCTTCATCCCACACATTTTTATATTTTTGATTTTTACTATCATTCAGCTAAAAATTTATAATACCCATTTTGATATCTTCTATGCACTCTGAGTTATGTAGAAGTTTATTTTTTAAATTCTAAACATTGGAGGATTTTCTAGTTTTCTTTTGGTTGTTGATTTCTAGTCTAAATCCATTGAGACATACTTTGAATTATATCTGTTCTTTGAAATTCACTGATACTTAGTCTATTACAAGCATATACTTGTTTCAGGTAAACCTTTTTACTGGAAATAAATTAATTTTGTCCTTGTTGGGTTCACTGTTGTTACATACATATGAATTGAATTGAATTTTGTTTCTCATGTTACTAAATTCATTCTTATCTGTCCAGATTTATGTTTGTTTGTTTATTTGTTTATTTTTCTACGAATTATCAAAAGTGTGTTAAATTCTCTCACATGGTACATTTAAAAATATTTATCATTTTAGTTCTGTCAAATTTTGGTTATGTATTTTGATGCTATTTTTTTAGGTGCACACAGATTGAAACATGTTGAATCTGTATAATTTGAGTCTTTCTTTACCTATAGTAATGCTTTGTTTTTGTTTGGTTTTGCCGTAAAATCTACTTTAGCTGTACCAACTGGCGTTTGCCAAGTATTTACAAGGTGTACAATTTTTCATCCTTTAACTTTCAACTTTCTGGATTCTTACTTGTAATGTGTATGTCTTACAAGCAATATATAGTTAGTGTATGTAAAATTATACTTATTCAGTCTGACAATCATTTCCTTTACAATGGATTATTTAGTCCATTTACATATTAATGTGATTACTGATATGTTTGGGTTTATAGCTACTACCTTACTATACTAGATATATATCCTATCTGTTCTATGTTCTGTTTTCTCTCTTTTTTTTAATTGTTTTCTCATGGGCAAATCAAATTTTTTGTTATACCATTTTACTCTCTCATAGCTTGTGGATTATACGTTCCTCCAGACTTCCTTTAGCTGTTATCATAGAGATTTCATAATGCAGAATTGCCTTATTACAATTGAGTACAAATTCATAGTTTTACCATTTCTCTAGGACACAGAACACTTTATTTACTCTTCCCACTTTTTGTATTATTATGTCATGCATTTTCATTGTACATATAGTTTAAGTCCCAAAGATATATTAATATTACGTTGTCCAACAGTATTCTTTTAGATTTACCCATATATTTGTCAGTAATTTGTTCCTCATCTTTTCTTTTTTTTTTAATTTATTTTTTGATACAGCAGTTTCTTATTAGTCATCCATTTTATACACATTAGTGTATACATGTCAATCCCAATCTCCCAATTCATCCCACCACTACCACCCCCCCACCACCACTTTTCCCTCTTTGTGTCCATACGTTTGTTCTCTACATCTGTGTCTCAATTTCTGCCCTGCAAACTGGTTCATCTGTACCATTTTTCTAGGTTCCACATATAGGCATTAATATGCAGTATTTGTTTTACTCTTTCTGACTTACTTCACTCTGTACGACAGTCTCTAGATTCATCCACGTCTCTACAAGTGACCCATTTTCCTTTTTATGGATGAGTAATATTCCATTGTATATATGTACCACATCTTCTTTACCCATTCGTCTGTCGATGGGCATTTAGGTTGCTTCCATGACCTTGCTATTGTACATAGTGCTGCAATGAACATTGGGGGTACATGTGTCTTTTTCAATTATGGTTTTCTCTAGGTATATGCCCAGGAGTGGGATTGCTGACTCATATGGTAATTCTACTTTTAGTTGTTTAAGGAACCTCCATATTATTCTCCATAGTGGCTGTATCAATTTACATTCCTACCAATGGTGCAAGACGGTTCCCTTTTCTCCACACCCTCTCCAGCATTTGTTGTTTGTAGATTTTCTGATGATGCCCATTCTAAATGGTGTGAGGTGATACCTCTTTATAGTTTTGATTTGCATTTCTCTAATAATTAGTGATGTTGAGCAGCTTTTTATGTGCTTCTCGGCCATCTGTATGTCGTCTTTGGAGAAATGTCTGTTTAGGTCTTCTGCCCATTTTTTGAATGGGTTGTTTGTTTTTTTTAATATTGAGCTGCATACGCTGTTTATATATTTTGGAGATTAATCCTTTGTCTGTTGATTCGTTTGCAAATATTTTTTTTCCATTCTGAGGGCTGTATTTTCATCTTGTTTGTAGTTTCCTTTGCTTTGCAAAAGCTTTTAAATTTCATTAGGTCCCATTTGTTTCTTTTTGTTTTTATTTCCATTACTCTAGGAGGTGGATCAAAAAAGATCTTGCTGTGATTTATGTCAAAGACTGTTCTTCCTATGTTTCCCTCTAAGAGTTTTATGGTGTCCGGTCTTACATTTAGGTCTCTAATCCATTTTGAGTTTATTTTTGTGTATAGTGTTAGGGAGTGTTCTAATTTCATTCTTTTACATGTAGTTGTCCAGTTTTCCCAGCACCACTTATTGAAGAGACTGTCTTTTCTCCATTGTATATGCTTGCCTCCTTTCTCATAAATTAGTTGACCATAGGTATGTGGGTTCACCTCTGGGCTTTCTATCCTGTTCCACTGATCTATATTTCTGTTTTTGTGCCAGTACCATATTGTCTTGATTACTGTAGCTTTGTAGTATAGTCTGAAGTCAGGGAGTCTGATTCCTCCAGCTCCGTTTTTTCCCTCATGAGTGCTTTGGCTATTTGGGGTCTTTTGTGTCTTCATACAAATTTTAAGACTTTTTGTTCTAGTTCTGTAAAAAATGCCATTGGTAATTTGATAGGGATTACATTGAATCTGTAGATTGCTTTGGGTAGTATAGTCATTTTCACAATATTGATTCTTCCAATCCAAGAACATGGTGTATCTCTCCATCTGTTGGTATCATCTTTAATTTCTTTCAACAGTGTCTTATAGTTTTCTGCATACAGGTCTTTTGTCTCCCTAGGTAGGTTTATTCTTTGGTATTTTATTCTTTTTGTTGCAGTGGTAAATGGGAGTGTTTCCTTAATTTCTCTTTCAGATTTTTCATCATTAGTGTATAGGAATGCAAGAGATTTCTGTTCACAAATTTTGTACCCTGCAACTTTATCAAATTCATTGATTAGCTCTAGTAGTTTTCTGGTGGCATCTTTAGGATTCTCTATGTATAGTATCATGTCATCTGCAAACAGTGACAGTTTTACTTCTTTTCCAATATGTATTCCTTTTTCTCATTTTCTTCTCTGATTGCCGTGGCTAGGACTTCCAAAACTATGTTGAATAATAGTGGCGAGAGTGGACATCCTTGTCTTGTTCCTGATCTTAGAGGAAATGCTTTCAGTTTTTCACCATTGAGAATGATGTTTGCTGTGGGTTTATCGTATATGGCCTTTATTATGTTGAGGTAGGTTTGCTCTATGCCCACTTTCTGG